TATTTTTTTTTTTTTTACATAAAATAAGATTAGGCCAAAACTGGCCCGGGAACACCCCCACCCTCAACAAGTGCAATAGATAAATGTATTAAGATTCCTTAAATTAAGTTTTAAATCCCTATAAAACTATATAAGTATCGTTCTTTATTGAGATCCATAAGAACTAAGATCTATACTTAAGATTTTCTTTCCTCAGCATTGTGTTCAGTAATCACAAAATGGCTGCCACCCCCTCAACTAATAATTATCTCTGCTTGCTAGAGCTGCTTTCCCAAAACTGCATTCCATGAAGACCTGCCTATCGCAATAGACCCACCCTTAATCCAACCCTGAATGGAACCTATAATCCCTATTGAACTAATAATTAGAACACATAGCCCCTCACCCATTTACTTGCATGTATCACATTTTCAATAAAAAGGCACAATAATTCCTAACAGTTGTTACTCTTCAGAGACCAATCTCTGGGGGTGTCCAACTGAGGACATGCATGAAAATGGCACCAAGGCCTTAGTCTTCCTTTTCTGCGCCGCCTCCAACGAGTCAACCCACCCCCACGGAGGCTGGACCCTGGTACTCTAGAATGCTTATTTTTTAAAATTATTTGTATATAAAGATGTTAGTCAGAAGTTAGAAACTAAAGTTGTGTTATCAAACTTTTATACAGTTATAAACATACTGAAACTGACATGTAATAGGCAGCTTTATGGAAAGGTTTTACACAAAGAATAAATATCTTTGATACACTGGTAGGTTCGAAAAAAAATAAAAAGACTTGTTAGCAAAATGTAGACACTCCGAACATTTAAAAGTCTTTTTAAAAATCATATATGTTTTTTGATGGGATTATTCTGTGCTTTGTGTTAAGGTATAAACAAAAAATAGGAAGGTTGAAAATAAAGGTAAGCTCTTCCTTGAGCTCAGAATAAACACCAGATTGAAACATTTTCACGCTTGTAGTCCAATAAATCATAAACTATTTTACCCTGCTATTAAAACTTTTTAGATGACTGGCTAACTGTATTTGTATTTTTTATCAGTATTATAAAACATAAATTTAAGACTCAAGAAAAACTGTATGAGCTCTAGAGTACAAGTTAGAATAGTTTTAGAATTCGTGCTTAGCAAGTAAGCCTTTAAATTTTTATTCTTTTTCTCAACATTGGACTATCCACAGGATATTTGCTCTTGAAATTCATCTTTATCACTATTCATGATATTATATAGTATATGACATGTGAAAGACATAGCTTCTGTCTTAAAGGAGCCTGTTTTTCTAAAGTAAAAGAGTTGACATTCTTAAAAAAAAAAAAATCCCCCACATAAATTCAAAAACCATAAATATTTAAAATGTGAGCAGTAACAAGGAAATTACAAATCATTTAGTCGGGCCAGCAGGTGGCAAGGTGGTTAAGGTGCTGGACACTTCCACACAGTCGACCATGGTTCAAATCCCAGGCCTGGTAGCTTGCTTTTCCACTTTCCTTCTCTCTCTGTGTCTCTCTTTGGTTAAATAAAGATAAATGAATGAATAAGTAAAATTAAATAAATAATTATTTTAAAAAAATCATTTAGTCATCCTGGCTTCCATGCTAGAGAATCCAAAGCAGGCTTCAGGACCAGCAATTAGCATAATGGCTATGTCACTGAACTCCCATGTAGCCGACAGTGGTTCGAGTCCCGGACATAGTGGCTTAAACTCACACCGGGCACGTGTGCATGCGTGCCCAAGATCCCGAGAGGAGAATAGAGGAGAGGGGATTGCAACTTGGCCATCCCCCCAGGGGGTGATTTCTTGCTTTCTAGCTTTCTGTCTCTGTCTTTCTGGTGAGCAAACACACCTTACAGCAAAAATCTCTTTTAAAAAATAATTAAATAACAAAGCAGATTTCAAAAGATCATGAATAATTCAAAACAGATTGCCAAATTTTATGTACAGGTGTGTGTGTGTGTGTGTGTGTGTGTGTGTGTGTGAATATACATATATAATTTTTTTTCAAATTTGGTATGGGGTACATGTGTTCAGTGGTGAGAGAGAAAGAAAGAGAAAGAAAATGAGACAGTAACCCCTCTACCCTCATACCACCCACCAATACCCTCTCCTCCATTCTCCTCTCAGGATTTTGTGTCCACATGCACATGCACCCATCATGTCTTTAAGCAGCTGGGTCTAACTTGAACTGAGCAAACTGTCATGCAGAATCCAGCTGCCTTAACCATAATGCCACTGCTGGCCCATCTCTTTTTATGGAATGACAATCTAACAATAGTTTTTAGTAGATTCTCAAAGAGGTTTTGTGACTCAAAACTTTTTCTGTACCCTCTGAGTTTGTATTAGGTTCCTCCCCTAAAAAGTTCCACAGCAATATATACATTCATCATCATACAGTACTGGACTATATTATAACTGCCCAGTAATTTGTTTATCCTCTTCTCCTGCTAAATTGTAGAAACTATTAAAGCAGAAAGCATCTCTGCCAGGTTTGTGACTATATTCCCATTACTCTACCTGGTGATTGACATGTAAAATCTAAATCTATGGGGACCAGCAGATAGCGTAATGGCTATGTTGCTGGACTCCCACATAGACGACCACGGTTTGAGTCCTGGACCCGGCAGCTTAAACTCGTGCCGGGCGCGTGTGCGTGCGTGCCCAAGATCCCGAGAGGAGAATGGAGGAGAAGGGAGTGGGGGAGTGATTTCTCACTTTCTGTCTCTCTGTCTCTCTCTGTCTTTCTGGCGAGCGCACGCAACCTATAGCAAAAACCTCTCAAAAAAAAAAAATCTAAATCTATGTATTCAATAGCCACTTCTTTCTTTCTTTCTTTTTTTTTTTTTTTTTTTTGAGAAAAGTTTTTACTATAGGGCACGTGCACTTGCCAGAAAAACAGAGACAGAGAGACAGAAAATGAGAAATCACCCCCCGGAGGGATGGCTGTGCTGCAATCCCTTCTCCTCCATTTTCCTCTTGGGATATTCGGCACGCACGCGCACACACACACCCAGCGTGAGTTTAAGTCACTGGGTCCATGAGAGTCCAGTGACATAACCATTACACCAACTGCTGGTCCCCACTAGCCATTTCTTAAATGAATGAATAAATAAATAAATTATCTAGTTAAATTTGGTCCAAATTTTTAAAAATGCTTCTAAAACTTCTGATTACATATCCTTAGTCAGTAAGAATTTATAATTAAATTCTATTTCATTCATTTTGACACTAACTTTCCCAGAGTATATTAAGTATCTATTAAATTATATATTAAATTACAGAACACATTTTTCATAAAGCATTTTACTCATTTGATAATATAAAGTTGGGATGAAACTCACAGCAGGTAGGAACTGCTACAGGAACACTGCAAGCCTGCTTAACTGAATGAAATTTTGATAGCTCACAATTTATCTATAAAATAAATACTTTGACAGGATTTTACATAAAATACCTGAGAATCTAATCTTAAAGGGTTTTCTTTTGGAGGGGGGGCAGCAGTGGAGGCATGGAGGTTAACGCAACTTGATGCCACATAGCCAACTGTGTGGTTCAAGTTCCAGACCAGCAGCTTAAAAAACATGCCTGGTGCTTGTGTACACATGCCCAAAATCCTGACAGAAGAATGGACGAGGAGGAACTGTGGGGATTATGGAGTAGCCATCTCCCCCTCACTTTCCCCCTCTCTCTCTGATGAGTGTACATGACCTTAGCAAAGTTTAAAACAAAACAAAACAAAACAAAACAAAAAAACTAGGGACCAGCAGTTGGCATAATGGCTATGTCGCTGGACTCCCATGTAGTCGACCGCGATTTGTGTCCTGGACCTGGTGACTTGAAACTCACACCGGGAGCGTGTGTGTGCGTGCCCAAGATCCCGAGAGGAGAATGGAGGGAAAGGACTGTGGCGTGGCCATCCCCCCTGGGGGGTGATTTCTTGCTTTCTGTCTCTCTGTCTCTCTCTGTCTGTCTGGCG